GGGTGTGAGGAGACAGGGAGGGAACTGGAGGGACGGTGGGTGTGAGGGGACATGGATGAGCTGAGGAGACAGCGCGTGTGAAGGGACACGGGGGAGCACGCCTGTGGGCGCGCTGGTCCCTCATGGTCCCTGGGCTCGGTGACCGGGGGCTGACACCAGGTGCGGTGCACCGCCTGTGCTGGCAGCAGTGAGGAGCCCAGGCCAGGGTGTGAGGAACACGGAACGGGGCAGGCGCGTTGCCCGGCCTCAGTGGTGAAACATGGCTGCTCACCGGGGCAAGTGGCTCTGTGCCACAGGTCCAGCACCATGGGCAATTTCTGGTATGTAACAGAGCGACACAAGTTTTACAAGAAATCCTTCCGCGTGTTCATTTGCAAAGGTACCAGCGCTCCTTCCGAAGTTCTGCCCGGCGCAAGCGACAGCAGAAAGGGCTGCCAGTGACAGAGCATCACCTCAGCCTCCTGTCCCCAGCATGGTGGTGCTGGCTTGGCTGAAGGGCGGGTTTGCTGCTAGAAGAGGCTCAGGTAACACCACCAGAAAGAACAGTCATTGGTGTTCAGAAACCAAGGTTGGGTAAAAAGCCACGTTCATCTGTTGTGACATGCAGTTGGCATTTGGTTGATTTAGATGCCAGCGTGACACTTTATTGTCCACCTGCTCCAGAGGTAGAGGTGGCTCAGATGTTGTAAGTGACAGGAGAACACGGGGACTTATGCAAAACTCATTACCAAAGTAACGAGGAGAAATTCAATAAAGTGAAAAATGTGAAAAATTAAAGAATTCACGATGTAAAAGTGGATTGGTAGAGACGGGGCGGGTTGGGAATCTCCGATAGTGAAATGTCACCATCTGGGAAAGAGTCACTTTAAGCCTGGGTGTGGTGGAAATCGGAATAATACCACAGAATTTAACAGAACTCCTGGCTCGAAGGTGCAAGGCAATGCCGTTCGCTGGGGGGACATGGCGGGTGAAAGCATGACCGCCCTCGCTGCTGGTGCCAGCGGCCTCGCCTGGTCCCCTGCCTGGGGAGTTTGTTTTCACTGCATTCACCAGAGTCAGGAGAATTAAAAAAAAAAAAATCAGCGGATCCTTTCAGTATTGGCTCTCCGCATTTGTTTTTTAAGGAGTTAGGCTTTACAACGTGCTCTCCAATCTCATTTTTAGAAACCCGCTTTTTTGCCTCTGGAATCGGAGCATGCGCACACAGCAGAGGTGCCGCCGGCCGCCAGCAGGGGTCGGTGCGGGGCGCGCGCGGGTGGACCGCGGTGCCGACGCCCGTCCGGCAGGGGGCGGTATGTTAGCGGGGGTCGGCGTGAGCAAAATCGCGGGCGCGGGGCGGTGAAAAGGAGGCCGCGTGCCTCTGTGTTGCTCAGGCTGCAGTGCAGTGGCTATTGAGAGGCGGGATCCCGGTACTGAGCGGTGCCGACGCCCGTCCGGCAGGGGGCGGTATAGCGGCGGGGGGTAGTGGCGGGCGGGCCGGCTTGAGTAAAAGCGCGGGCGCAAAAGGAACCCGCGTCTCTCTGTGTTGCCCAGGCTACGCTGCAGTGGCTATTCACAGGCGCGATCCCGCTACTGACCGGCACGGGAGCTTTGACCTGCTCCGTCTCCGACCTGGGCCGGTTCACCCCTCCTTAGTCAACCTGGTGTCCCCCGGCTCCCCGGGACTCACCATATTGATGCCGGCCTTAGCGCGGACGCCCGCTCGGCATAGCGCACTGCAGCCCAGAACTCCTGGGCTCAAGCGATCCGGCGGGCTCAGCCTCCCGAGTAGCTGGGACTACAGGCACGCGCCACCGCGCCCGGCGCTCACCGCCCCGCGCTGCCGCCTCTACTGCCGGCACTGCGCTGACGTCACGCCGCGGAGGGGAGGAGGGCGGGAGAGCGAGCGAGCGAGCGGGGGGACGCTTCTGCGCAGGCGCCGCCCTCCGCCTCGGCCGCGGTGCAGGCCGGGATGCGTGGCAGGGTTGATTAGCGCATGCGCCCGCCGCCATCTTCCTCTCGCAGCCAGGCGCGCAGCAGGCAGCATGGGGCACCAGCAGCTCTACTGGAGCCACCCCAGGAAATTCGGCCAGGGCTCCCGCTCCTGGTCAGTACGCGCCCCGAGAGCCGTCCGGGTGGTCTTTAGGGCCCCTGGGTCGCCGCAGCTGCCTCGCTCTCTCTCTCCTTTCTCCCTACCCCGCCCCGCCATTACCCGCCCTGACCGGCCTTGCTTTCCTTCTTCCCTCACAGCCGCGTCTGCTCCAACCGCCACGGCCTCATTCGCAAGTACGGTCTGAATATGTGCCGGCAGTGCTTCCGCCAGTACGCGAAGGACATCGGTTTTATCAAGGTGAGCGCCGGCACCGGGGCCGGCCGGGAGGGGCGGGTGTGCCGTTTCCCGCTGACTCCTCTCGCTTTTCTCGTTCTCTTGCAGCTGGACTGAGCGCCGGGAGGATGAGGCTGTTGCCAGAAGCTCCCGGGGCTTCCCTCGGCCTCCCTGACACATCTGCGGCATCTCGGCGCAGCCCTACTGAATAAATAGTCTCTCTGCCCGACTGACGTGTGCGCATTTGCCTTTTGTAGAGGTTCTAATGGCTACAGGGCCTCTGCTCCTTGGCAGTGGCCCTCTCAGAGGGGTGGGTGCTGCACTGGGGACAGGCCTAAATGAGCCTGCCCTGCCATCCTTAGCTTTCCCACACAAAACCATGTGGCCTCAAGAGTGCTGATGCTTGTGTGATGCCACTGAGCCTTCAGGTTTGCAAGCAGAGCAGTAGAATGGTCTGCTTAAAGTGACTGGTAGGTGAACGGCCAGGCAGTCTGCTGGAGTGCAGCTGCCACTCATGACAGACTTGCTTGGGTCAGATCCTGGCAACCTCTGCTCTTGCTAATGTAGAAAATGGTGATGTCGCAACACCTCTGGTGCGGAGCTGTACCTCAAACTTTGTGCCTAAGCCTTCCTCACTTTTTAGGAGGTCTAGTGCTTCAGGCTGTGGGGAAGGTTAAAACCAATGCCAAAACAAGATAAGGTGAGGGCATCCTGAGCCAGTGGCAGATGTTTGCTGGAGCGTGTGTGTGATGTGGTGTGCAGTCCAAACCTCCTCCTTCCTCTGAAGGAAGCAAAATATAGTTGGAGCCACACACCCCTTCCACTTCATCTGGCATTTTCTGAGGTCTCCAGCCACTTAAAGGTTGCAGTACGGTAGGCCTGAAGAGAGTTGGGCAAAGAAATGCTTGTTGAGTGTGCCAAAGGCCTGGAGATGAGCCTTCTGGTTCCCTCTAAGGGTATTAAAAGTGTCTGGGTGCTGTCGTGCTCTTCAGGCTGGTTTTGGAGCAGCTCTGCTGAAGCTACACTTCTTTCTGAGATTACTGAACAGATGAGTGTTTTGACTGTGCCTGAAATGGCAAATGGGCTGATCCCTCCCAGGTGACTGCTCTGTGTCTAGTTTGGGCATCTCTAATAGCCTTTTTTTGTCCCACAGGCTATTAAATTAAACAGAACAAGATGAGGTGGTGAGGAGGGAATGGGGACAAACCTACAGGCTGGTCTGGTGGCTCTAGTGTTTTTCCTGTGTGGTGGTGAAGCCTCCGCTGAGGCAAAGAGGGCACTGTATCCTTGTCCCTGGTGAGTGCTGCTGTACCTTCCCATCACAGAGCCTGTTCTGGTTTCTGTGGTGATGGAAGCAGAGCGTGAGCTCAGCACTGAGCTGCTGGAAGCAGTTAGGTGTGCCTGACATCACAACTTTTGGCCTTCTGTGAGCTTTAATGTCAAACTTCCCGCAGGGAACCTCTGGGGACAGGCGGCAGCTGAGCAGGGGTTTGAATTGTGTTTGCAGCAAAAGCTGAAGGGCTGTGGGGATAACGCTGTGGGTAACAGCATGGAGCTCAGCGAGCTGCTTTTTCCCCAGCTGGCTGGGTAAACTTGTGCTGAGCTGTGTGCTGCTGTGATCAGTTGGCAACGGTGGTTTAGGAATTATCTGAAACTAATGAAACTTGGAAAAATACTTGCTAAGTAACACAAAACAAATGTGAGTTAAAGCAGCTAGCTGGGTTAATACCTGCATCGGGGGGGGGGGGGGGGAAATGTGCTATTATTGTCCTAACAGCTGCTGCCATGGCTTCATTTCAAGGTGGCAAAACCCACAGCTAGCTCCAGGGAAAGGACAGCTAATCCTGGGACGCTAAATAAGATAAATTAATAAAGCCTGATACAAAAATTAAAAGGTAACTGTATGGGGCTGTTTTGCTCAGAGGATTTCCATCTTCCCTTTGCCTTGAGGCAATATTAGACTGAGGAGACTTCTGCAAGGGTTTCTGCATTCTGGTAATGCACCAGTTCTCAAAATGTCATGCAGACTGTTGCGCGTGGAAGCGCTGACCAGCCGTGGCATGCCTGCTGTAGTCTGGGAGGATGATGGTGAGCAAACAGCTCTTTTTGGCAGCTCCTGCGACCAAAGCCAGCCCTGCATGGCACACAGGGATGCAGATTTGGGGTCGCTTGGGGAGCTCTGACTGGTGCTCCAGGTTTGGTGCTGGTCTGGGGAAGGGTCAGCCTTGCTGCAGCTGGAGGATGCTGTTGGTCCTGTTATTCTCTTTGAGAAATGGTTAGATTGCTGGAAACCTCAGTATAAAGGTGAGCTTCTACACAAAATTATTTAGTTCCTCTGGTGATTTCCCCCCCCCCCCCCCCAATTTCTGCTGATACACAGAGTTGAATCCTATGGGGTTCGTTTGTATGGTGTCAGTGTGATTCTGAAAAACCAGAAAGCACTAATTACCTTTCTAACTAGTTACTGAATTTCTTATGTTAGGAGGACTCTCTCAGGGGAAGAGTAAGTCTTTTGTTCTTAAGCGTTATTTTAACCCATGTTACAATCTGATTTGTTCTTTTTCAAGGAAGCGAGTAAACCGGTCAGCTTTGCTGCTGGCTGCTCCTGATCCCCAGCAGAGAATGGGGAGCTGTGGTGCAAAAGCTGGTTTCTCAGCAGCTGGTGAGAATCGCCGTGAATGCTGCTGGGGAGCTGCCATGGCGGAGGAGCTGGTAGCACTCAGTTAAGCTGTTGCTTGGGCTCTATGGACAAGGATAACTGGGCAGAAGCATGAAATTCAAGGAGTGGATGTGATGCCAGCTTTGTATTTGAGAGATTTCAGCTTCTCCTCTGGCAAGGAGGCTGTGATCCACACCCTGCAATTGTGCAGTGCCTCTGCCTGCGCCGGGGAGCAGTTGCAAGCGTGTTAATAATCTGGCTGCTGTGTCCAGAGAAGCAAATTCCCTCTGTGTGCTGAGCTGTGCTGTCGGGGGAACACCCTGACACGAGGGAGAAATCAGATGACTTGCACCAAGGGTTTGTGTTAAAAGATGGCAGGTCGCTGCGATTGCCAATGCCTAACCCGATAACCAGTCATGCCTCTTCTTGCTATGAAAGATGCTTCTAATTTTTACTCCACACTTTTCTACATACCTCATAATAACTGACCATAGTGTAAAATTTCAGTTAAACACAAAATCAGCAAAGATGCAAAATGGGAGGGGAGGGGTTTTGCAATTTGCACTGCTGGACTCTGCACAGAGCTGTGTTCAACTTGCCTCCTGCTACCTATTAGAGGTGCACAGCTGTGCTCATGGTGCTTCCCGGAGGGAAATGTTTTCTGTCCCCATCAATGTGTTGGTGGCAGGAGGTTGCCCCCATGGCAGGTACCAGCCTGAGAGCTTTGCAAATGGCAGCAGTATCAGAATTATTTGGACACTTGGAGCTGCAAAGAGACATTCAAGTCTGGTGGGGAGTTGTGGATATCTGTCCCCCTTTCCTGAGAAAAGGTCCTTTCTGATGGTAAAATGGCTTTGGGGGCACCTTCTTTCTCTGCCCTGTGTGGCTGCTGTTGCAGGGCAGTGAGCTGTGCTGCTCTAAAGCAGCTGAGGAGCTGGTCCCAAGAGCTAAGTGACAGAGCACGTTATCTATGTGATGAAAACAAGAACAATAAACCCCCCTACCCCCGTCTGTACCAAATAGCAATTGAAAAGCAGCTTCCTACTTGAAAACAAAGCTAAAATACGTTTTTAAATTACTTTGTACGCATTAAAATACCTGAATCGTCACCTTGTAATTTTGTAAATGCTTTAGATGTTCTTGCCTTTCTTCTATTCTATTCTTCCCATCTTTTAAGGCTAGCGGGAAGGTGGTGTAGTACAAACTGTAATGCCTTTTTACCTTATTGCTGCCTTAACCGGGTATTTATTGCCCAATATACAATGAAGACGAGGTGCCAAAGCCTTGAATTTCCTGAGCTCATTGTGAAAATTGCATTTTGTTTCTTCCTAAAGCTGATGGTTACAGATTCTGAAGGTGCACAGATGTGAAGCTCAAACTTATTTGGAAGCAAAATGATTTATAAAGAGCTGCTGATTCCCCTAAAGAACAGGTAAGATCAAAATACTCTTAAAGGACTTTGCATTAATAGCGAACAACTAATACATGTTTTCCTGTAGGGAAATAATGTTGCCTACCTGGAGCCAAGTAAAAGATAGTGATGCCTTAGCTTTCAAAGAGATGAACCTCTAATTGCTAATAGAGTTTATAGGGGATTTGGGCTGTTGATAAAACACTAAATTGCATTGGATTATGCACCAGATAAAATCTACGGTTGTCAGAGGCTCCAGGAGGAATTTGCAAGGCTTTGGGTAAAACACTGGCTTTTAAACTCATCCTGAGGCTAGAAAAATGAAGCTGTCTGACATGCTCAGATAGGAAAAAAGTGTAATTCCTTCAGGTAAGCTGTGACAGCATGGGCCTTGTGAAAGCTTGTGTCTCATGATGACCCTTTTGTGTGCAGAGCTGGACTTTGACTTGCTGGTTTATGGCAGCAGGTGGCCTGTGGGACCAGGCTGGGGATGATCTTCAGGCTGTTTTCCTACTTGCAGCATCTCAAGGTGAGTGCCAGGCTCAGCAAAGTGGATCCCCATCACCTGGATCAGGATCTGGCTCCTTGCCCTTCTGCAAGCTGCCACGGGGTTCAGTTCTGGGATAACGATTTCTGCACCGTGAGATGTGTTGAAGCAGGGACAGCAGCTTGTCCAGGGATGTGGATATTCCCAATATTGACATTACTGAATTCCTGCAAGGAGCAAGCTCTACCTGGGGCGGCTTGGAGGCTGCTCCAACATGTCAGCTGCAGGCGATGCTCGGAGCAGAGTACACCGAGCTTAAAGCTGTTCATCACTCCAGCCTCAAGCTGAGGGAAAGGGACCCGGGAGTTTTGCAGAGAAACAGGGCGTTTGGCAGTGGTTGCTTTGAGCAGGCACAGGGTAGGAGCTGCTGCTCCAAATGCAGCTTTCCGAGTGCCCTGGGCTCTCGTGTCTGCCAGACCGTCGGTCAGGTGGCACGAGGGTCAACCAGGAGAGATGCAAGGGGTGTCTCTGGTCCAGGCGTGGGATGAGGTCCAGTTACTGCCCTTGTGAAGGTGCTGTGGATGTGTTCCTCTGTGATACGCTGGTGGGTCACCCCACGCCGGCTCTGCAGATCACCAGTGATGGCACTTGGTGATGCTCGGGTCTAACAC